ACCTCGCCTGCGGAAGAAAAATACACGTCCTATGAGCTGGAAGTGTTGGCGATAATTAATGCGGTAGAAGAAGTTCAGAGTTTATTTATTAGGTTTCAAATTTAAGATCATTACGGATTGTTCAGCTTTCCAAAAGACTATGCAGAAGAAGGACTTGTCAACGAGAGTTGCTAGATGACCATTACTTTTAGAAGAGTACGAGTACCAGATAGAACATCGCAAAGGAAGCAAGATGGCGCACGTTGACGCGCTAAGTCGTTATCCTGGAGTGATAACTTTAACTGAAGAAGATGGGTTCTTGCAAAAAATAAGGCAAGCTCAAGACATAGATGAAAATATTCTGACCATAAAGAAAGTGCTAAACTCGGGACAAGAACATGACAATTATTTTATTCAACATGATATAGTATACAAGTATGAAAGTGGAGAAGAGCTACCAGTGATACTAAAAGCAATGCAGACAGAAGTTATTAGAAGGATACATGGAGATGGACATTTTGCGACCAAGAAGACCCAAGAGTAAATAAAGAATATACATTTTAGCGATTATTGATGATTTTACGAAGTTCACTTGGCTTTACGCAACTAAATCCACCACAGCCAGAGAGACGATAAATTAGGTGCTAGCTGACGTCTCACACATAACCTCACTTCCGTTGGGGGGACAAACAAAGCGTTTGAAAGGTCTATTCAACACACAGGCGCTAGCTTGTCACCAATGACAGAACGTGACTTTCGTTAGGGGGACAAACATGTCATTGAGGTTATGTGTGAGACGTCAGCTAGCACCTAATTGTTTTATTAAACAACAAAAAACTTTCGGTAATCCATGTCGAATTATTACTGACAAAGGTACAGCTTTCACGGCAAACGAATTTAGAGACTACTGTGCAGAAGAGGGAATACAACATGTCACAATCACCACTGGTGTAGCATGAGGGAATGTCATTATGTCCTAATAATTGCTCCAATGCAAATTTGAATATAGAAAAATTGTCCGTTTTTAGGGACCTAATGTGTTCTAGACCCAATTTGACATTTCACAAATTTCTGCTTGCCCTCGGCAAGCAGCTCGCCCAAATTTGAAGTGGACTTCAAATTTATTTCAATGTAAATGGATTTGCGCTGCCGCCATATGGCAGGCACATCAATTTCAAGACAAATTGGACTTTGAAGTAAATGTAATTGCACCAATAAACATCTCATAAGGCAAGGCAACGATAATCGTGTGGGTTAACGCGCTCGACTACATGGGAAATGTTTATGGTAGACCGGGTTCGAATCCTGGCCAGACCGAAAATTATTTTCGGTCGAACTTTTGGTGGCTACCTAGGGTAAAGTGTAAATTAATAAAGCAACAACAACAAATACACCTCAGGGTATTATAAGCGGGCATTATTGATCATAACGCCCGCTGTGCTTATAATGCCCTCGGGTTGTTATAGGTATGTTAACGTATTTCGTTTCCTAGGTATTATGGATCTATAATAGTTGAGTAGAAAATAAATAGATATACACATTTGGTTGCATACCCGTTACCCAGGATTGAAGATATGGTCAACAGAATTTCTCAGTATGAATATTTCAGTTCGATAGATCCTCATAGTGCATATCACCAGATACCAATTCTAAAGCATGAACGTATATACACTACCTTTGAAGCATGTAGAAATCTATACCAATTCACTGACTAATGGCGTTGCTATTGTTTTCAGAGAAATATGAATAACATTATCAAACAAGAAAATTTAGAAGACATATATGCATTTCTTGACGAAGTAACCATATGTGGTGAAAATAAAGAGCATCATGATACAAATCTTAAACGATTTTTAGAAGTTGTTAAGAAATATAATCTGAAGCTTAACAAAGAGAAGTGCAACTTTGGCATGACTGAAATTAATATACTGGGGCATACAATAGAACGAAAATCAATCAAATCTCAATCAGACAGACTTAAATCACTGATTTAGTTGCCACTACCTACTAATACTGCTTCACTCAGGAGAGTTCAAGGCATGTTTGCCCATTATTTCAAATTCATTCATAAATTTTCTGAGAAAATACATCCACTGATTCCAGTTGAAAAGTTTTCCTTGTCTACTTGTGAAGCTGCTGCATTTGAACAGTTAAAGACTGATATACAACACGCTGTTGTTATTTTCATTGACGATGAAGCCACTTTCACTGCATTTGAACAGTTAAAGACTGATATACAACACGTTGTTGTTATTTTCATTGACAATGAAGCCACTTTCACTGTTGAAACTGACGCATCGGAATATGCTATTGCTGCTCAACTTATACAGTCTGGAAAACCAGTGGCGTTTTTCAGTAGAACATTGACGAAATCGGAACAGCGACATTCTTCCGTAAAAAAAGAAGCCTATGCTATAGTGGAAGCACTTCGTAAATGGAGACATTTTATGATCGGACGTTACTTTAAGCTCATAACTGACCAGACATATGTCGCTTTTATGTTTAATTCACTTAAGTAATTCTAAAATCAAAAATGAAAAAATAATGCAGTGGCGTCTAGAACGTCTGGAACTATCATCTTATAAATATGATATCATATACAGATCTAGAAATCAAAATATCGTGGCAGATACATTTTCAAGAATATTTTCTGCGATTTTACCTTCTTCTAGTGACAAAACAAACAAAAGTGACAAATTTACCTTTCTCACTAGACGATATCAAGAGAATTTCAGCCACATTGTTCCGTTTCTGCTGTGATCAAACCAAGGTTTCATAGAAATCAAGGGACCATCATAAAAGCCACTGCCCCTTTCGAGAGAATAAATGTAGATTTTAAAGGTCCATTGCCATCTGAGAACCAAAACCGCTATATTTTGACTACTGTGGATGAATTTTCTGGATTCCCATTACATTTGGCTTCGCTTGTCCTGACATGACTTCATCAACTAACGAAGCAACTGTGTCAACACGCCACCTTGCGCTAAGAGGAGATTCTGCTCTTCATCAAGAAATGTCGAATGAAGATATGAATCTAGAATGTAGAACATATAGAAACAAACCTAATGATCAAAACAACGACCAATGTAGTGAACCACATCCCATTCAACAACTCAATTACAACGATTCTGATGCTGCAAATCTTGATGGAATAACTGTAACACCATCAAGGAATCTAAGCGATGAGGTTGTAGAAAATATAACTGATTATTCCTTGAACCGACCAAAACGTCAAAAGAAGCCTCCTGTTTATTTGAAAGATTATAAAACCATCTAGGGATGAATGTTATATATTTAGAAACTTTTCAAATGTCCTGTATTTCATATCTTGTTATGCCGGCTACAGACGGTCCGGCAGGCCGGTCAGTTCCAACTGAACAGTTCGCCTGAAGGCCAGTTGCCGGATGGACTGATGACCCTACAAATGTTCAGGCGTATCTGATTCTTCAGTCTCAATCATCACGGCCTCTACTAACGACGACGCGTTATAAGCACTTTTTGATTTAGCTAGTACTAGTAGGTATACATATTTCTGAGAACAGTAGAGTCCGTACAAGAAAGATCGATTTCCTTCAATTTTTCTACCAGTTTCTTCCAATGGTCGTGGAAGTTTTTCGATTTGACTTGCCGCAGTCACGACTTGCCATGATAAATAGCGATAAATTCCTCCAAACACCTGTTTTCTATTTCGCGTGACATGGCGTAAGCTCACTACTGACTACTGAAACTATGTGAAATGATAGCCCAACGGCCCGACAGGCGAACCGTGCCATACACATGTTCAGATTTGAATTTGGGTACGTGAGGTCGGCCGGCTGAACGAACATATTTTTGATTTTTATCCGGCCACCTGAACAGTCTTAACTGACAGATCGTCCGGAATATATACACGTTCAGGCGACCGGCCTTCAGTCGGACTGTTCAGTTCGAACTGACAGGCCTGCTGGACCGTGTGTAGCTGGCTTTACCTTTATTATTTGTCAACCTTGACAGTTTGTCAATGTTAGTTATATGGTCTATGGTTATATGCTCTGTATAGTAATATTCTGAGTTTATTAAAGCCTGTATTCTAGAGGTTTTCTTTTACTCCAATTGATGTGTCTCGCAGAAATAGAAAAAGAGAACTTAATTGTAATAAATACAAGTTAGAAAGTAATAAAAAATGACATGCGCGCGCAACTCGTGGCTGCAGTGTAGCCAGATTGTATTGTTGCAGAACAAATGTAGATAATACAAATCGAACATTATAACATTAAAGAAGTAATATATTGTCAAGTGTTTTACAACGCCTTAAATCAGGCAAAAGAAGAGCTTTAAAGTGTATGTTAACATCCATGGCACTTTTGTTTTAATAAATGTTTCATCTGGCAAAATCGCACAATGAAAATATGTCAAGTATAATTTAACATAACCTCAAACGACACTGGGATAAGTTCAAGTAATACGTAAAGTATTAGTTTGCTCCTTGTCGAATTACACGTTACAAAGAAAGAAGAAACGATTAATTCTGAACTCGTCCCTGAATACGAATATGACGCAAGCCCGTAACAAACTCGATTTTCATTGGACGCTCACTTGCAACCCACGGGTTGCGCGCGCACACCAGGTATTACGAGACACGTCAATTGGATGCTCACCTGCAACCCACGAGTTGCGCGCGCACACCAGGTATTACGAGACACGTCAATTGGTTTATTTTGAAGATTTGTTCACCATCTATAAAGACATAGATATAATAGTTTCAAACAAAATCTTGAAAGCATTCAAATTTTTGAATAATTTTTCCTTACAAGAGTCGTTTTCATACTTCAAAATGAAGTATATTTGAAGAAAATTTTAGGCATTTTTGTTGAGGGAGAATGCTTTCTTTTCTTTCTTATGTACCCTATTATGTACCTCCTCAATTAACTTTGAAAAATCTCCAAAAACTCCTGAAACGAATATTTCTTACACCAGCAACTCGTTCCACGCTCGTAGAACTAAACTAATCCCTTTAAAAAAAATCCCCCGATTCTTTTCAGATGCTAAAATCTTGTCGCAAACTGAGCATGACGGTACGAACACCGAATTTACCCGGCACTGGCTCTATGGCGTGCAGTGGCGCACCGTGGCAAATGCGACAAACTTGCTCGTGGATGGACAGGCACGGAAGACCCGTGTCGCCGCCACTGGAATATTCCAGAAATCGTTTCACTCACGCTCGGGGTGCTAGTAAAGATCGAACTGTCAGAAGGGTAAGAATTTTAACAAACTAGTGTTTTCATAAGTAGCCATTTACAACCGTACATACAAGACTAACGTGGCGACTTTTGATTGATTTGTAGCTTATACGTTTCTCATTATCATTACGCACGTTTGTATGTAATGTTCAACTTACATAGGCGATCATAGCAATCAAAAAAGCGGCAAATTCGAATGTGTAAAAATAAGCTTTCGTATAAACTATAAATAAATCTCCTCAACCTGTTTTAGACAAATTTTCCTGCCAAAATTCTAATGAATGGTCGCGTAAAGGGAAATTAATGGAGTATCAGGAAATTTTATTGCCTCTGGCTTCGGTAATAATGCGGATTGGATTCTACTTACTTGCAACTAGAACGATTTTATTTATACAATCAACCAAAAACCCAAATTGTTTATTTTAAAAATAAAAAACAAAACCACATTTTACTATTATTATTATTGTTATCGCTGTTGGCACAGTTTATTTCCAATTTTCTACCAAATTTTTCCATGAAATAAAAGTTCATAAAAGCCAGGTAAATTATTTTTTATATTTCCGTTTTTAAATTTTTATTTATTTTATCTATATAGGTGGATTTATGCATAGAACCTGGACAAAGTTTGGGTTTGATGATACGCGGCGGAGTCGAATACAATTTGGGCATTTTCATAACGGGAGTTGATAAGGAGTCAGTGGCTGATAGAGCAGGACTTATGGTAAGAATTTAATATTATGAAAACAAGGCTTAAATGGCACAATCAATAGTTGCGCGTGGCTAAAATTAGCTACTGGACATCACGCCATAATATGGGCGAGCCATATTATACTGTTTTAAATTAATTATTTGATTATTCCTTTGGTAGGTCGGTGATCAAATTCTGGAAGTCAACGGTCAATCGTTCATGGACGTCACCCACGATGAGGCCGTCGCCCAATTAAAGTACCACAAACGTATGTCGTTGGTGGTACGGGACGTGGGCAAAGTACCTCATTCTTGCACTGCCTACGATAGAGAGTTCGACTTGTGTAGTCCAGGGTAAGTCGCAACAAAACTTTTGAATGTGTGTCATGTCCGATTAGATTGTAAATTGAGGCCGGGATTTTTTTGAAAAAATCTAAATATAGCATCCAAAAAACTATGTATGGATTGCTAGATTACTTACCAAAATTTCCGTTAACTATAAACAATATTCAGGCAAAAAATAATTATTAAATTGAATACGTTATGTCATGAAACTCAACAAAAAATCTTGGTTTCACTAAGTCCAATAAAGCCCTAAATTACGTACTCAAATCATGATACAACTGAAACTGGTATCATTTTGTATTGATTTTATTTGGAATGGGAATATTCCTCCGAAAGTTTTTGTGTGTGGGAGTTCTTAAAAATAAACAAAAAACGTCGGAGAAATAGATAGACAACAGAACTATGTCAATGGAGATTGGACTCTTAACAAACGTAATAAAATTTTAATATTAAAAACTCAACTCCATAAGCCGGAAACTTTTTGAATAAAAAGTTCATTGGCAGATCTAGAAAAAGTTGAGATGTACAGGGCGCAGCAATGTTGCCACAGCTTCAAGTTTTACTAAAATTTCACAAGAATTGCAATTTTTCAACATTCATTCAACTCATTAGGAGTCGTTTGGCGGCAGCATCGTGGGCGACTAGAAAATGGGCGGCCGCCCTCCAGGCCGTAGAAGAGAAGGCCCGCGTTCTACTCGCCCGGCCGGAATTCGGTGCGCTCGTCTACTACACGGACGAATACGCCGCCAGACATATGACCGTAGATGCCTTTGTACAGTGCATGACCGAATTACTTAATACGCCCGATAAGGTAAGAATTTGCCAGTGTTTTGGTAGCTTGACTCACTCTTTGTTTCAAAGTATACACTAATGACCGAATTGAGGGAAATCGTAGCGGTCGAGGACCGTCAAAAGTTCGACGAGCTAGTGTACAGACGTAACGAGGAAATGCCAAGAAGTCGAGATCCGAGAGAACACGATTACAGACATTCGAGGGTAAGAAGCTGTTATTGTTTGGGTTTTATATTAAAACACATATGCAAGTTAGAGGAATCTTTTGTGCCTCTTTTATTTATAAATTATCAAAAACTGTCCTTGTTGACAATTGCTAAGGCATTTGTTCAAACTTCACAATCAAGTAATACTAGCAAGGAAACTAGATATACCTGCATACTTATAACAGAAGCTTTATTAGGTTTAGATTAAATTTTCCGTAACGACACACAATCTAGAATTTACAGTTTCTCAGAGACTTATTTTTTGGTCAATGTCTAAAATCGTAAACAAAAATTTAATCAAAATAACAGTGTTTATCTGCAACGTACACCAAAGTAACTGACTTCATAGAACGATTAATTTTTAATTGGAAAGCTTAGTAGTGGCTAATGGGCGTTTCTGATCCCACGGGATTGCCAAGCAAATATACAAGGTAAATTGGCATTAAATCGACAAACTGAATTTGAACTGGTTTGTCGAATTATTGTGCTTTGAAGGAAAAAGCTTTCAAAGGATTTTGATAATAACAGAAAATTATTGCTCCCTCGTTTTCGTTTTTCAAGGAACTTTATTCCATCAGTTCCATGTATTGGACAATATCGTGAAGTCGACTCTGGACATGGATATGGCACAAACTGCTGCTACAAAATATTATAATCCATCGCTTTTTGAAACGTTGCGGGGGCGTTCTTCAATCCGAATGACATTCTTGTGAATTCATAATGTCCTTTTATCCATTTCAATTGTATAGTATCATTTTGCTTTTCCTAAATTATCTTGAATTTTGTTAATATTGGGATCCTTTGTTGCCCCCTCAAAAAAATATTCTTCGTTTATTTTGAGATAAAATGTGTGTCATATTCATTGAGGTGAAGTATACAAAGGGCATTGCGTCATTTTGAAAATTGTATGAATCGTTCTCATTTATTTCAAACTTCTTTATTTTTATATAAAAGAAAACTAAAAATGAACGTATTTATAATAAAATGTGTCTCATATGCAGCCGTATTCATGAAAGATTCTGCATTAACTTGTTAGGTTTTAAAATAGGATTACCGAAACTAATCCCAAAATAAGAGCATTATCAAGAACCAAAATCCGACATCCAGTAATTTGATTCCAAACAAAACCAGATGTATAATACATACTTGTTGTTTCTTGGCAAGCAAATATTACGATTGAATCTTGCCAAAAATAATTTAACAAATCATATTTTGGATGCAAAAAACATAAAAAGATCAGTTGTTGAAAAAACGAATAATAAAAATTCTTCTATTGAGGCTCTTGACGTCAATTGCACCTGTTGTTTTCCTGGCACACACACACGGTTGAAAATGTCGTGCCATCGTTCTTTCAGCTTCAGCTGCCTTTTACGAACTGCCGCAGCTTGCCAAATGACCGAATAAATAATGTAGAGTACGAGCTACATGAAACGTTATTTTTATTTGAATAATTGATTTTACTTTTCTTTTTTTTCTAGAGGAAAGCAGGAGGAATACCTATACCGGATTCTAATCATACTGTTTATTCGGGGTTTCACGAGGTAAGTTTGCAATTATGTACTTTTAATTTCTATTGGATTTCTTTATATGGCAGATTTTCTGATAGATATATGTGGTGCTTGATGCTGTTTACATTTCTTGTATTTTGCCTTTACTTACAGCTACAGAAATATTTTATCACATAATATGTGTTGCCTCAAATTAAATGTAATTTCAAATTTGATTGTATACAAAACATTTACACGTACGCTACTACAATTTTAGTTTAGTACATAGTCTAGAGTTATATATAGCAAATATAGTTAACAATTTTTTAGCTTCTGTAATAATCAAATTTAATATAAAATTTGATTAAGTATTATGCGAATAATTATTCTTCGAAAAAATCTCCATTTTTTTCAGACTTGCAATTTTTTGAAGCCCTTTAAAAAATTGTCTTTGATAAAAAGTTCTTAAGAAAAAGAATTTCCTGATAAGTAAAAAATTTTAGTTTTTAATAAAAAAATTGAGAGATATTGATTCTCTGGGTCACATTAACGATTGTTTACAAGCTTATCAAAAATTTGAATTAAATTTTTGAATTTAAACTCTTGTAAAATCGCATAAGTTTCTAAATTTTAGATTCACAGGGACTTCAAGTTTCCAGGATTTGAATCTAGAGCTTGAAAATCAAATCAGGACTTTGAATTGAAAAATTGAAAATTGAAAAATACCTTCAAAATCGCATTTGAAAGCCTTTGCAAAATTCTTCTAGATGTCACAGTGACTTTAAATTTTCAGGTTCTATAGACTAGAGTCTCTTTTATCCTTGGAAAAAATTGAAAAATTTCCCTAAAATCGCATTTGAGGGCCTCTGAAAAATACTCCTAGAAATCAAAGTAACTTCAAAATCCCAGGGTTTATAGATTCCAGTCTGTTTCTTAAAGCAAAATAATCTAGAGCTTGAAAAGTAGATCAAGATTTTTCTATGTTGTTCTTTGAAAAAAAATTCTAGGTTTTGATTGCGAAAGTATGGACACCAAACTTATTTTCTACTTCCCTGATTAGCTCTAGTTATCCCTGGTTATCCCCGGTTATTCCTGTCCAACGTTGCCAAATGTAATTTTCTAAGTTTAATATATTTGCATTTTTTTCATTAACTCCTCGTTATCGTTTGGTTATTCTTTGGTTAATCGTGGTTATTCCTTGGTTTTCTTTAGTTATCCCCAGTTATCCCTGGAATTCCAAGTTATCCTCGATTATCACTGGCCATGTATACCAAATATCCCTAGTGAAATCCCCCACTCGGGGGGTTTCGATTGCAAAATTGTGTACACCAAACTTCCTTCCTGCTTCAAGTTATACCGGTTTATTCCCAGTTATCCCTGGTATTATCACGAACGAAATAAACACCCCAATAATAACAGCCTATGAGAACAGTAGCTGTCCTGTGAAACAAAGGGTCGTAGATAGAAAAACGCCCTAGTGGAACAGGACGTTCAGTTCCCTAAGAACTGAAACAAGAAGGTTATTCAATAGGGCAAAACGCACCAACAACTGGGGCGAATACAGAACTGCCCTAACTGAATACAACAAGGAATTGAGAACGTCTAAAAGGAAATCCTGGAGGAATTTCTGTGAAGAGATTACTGACATCCCTCAGATAATGCGACTCCAGAAAGTCCTTGCAAAAGACCACTGAAACGGCATTGGACTACTGCAAAAACCTGATGGCAGTTACACAGAGAGTAGATTAGAGAGTGTGAAACCTTCTCCTACAATCGCACTTCCCAGACTCTGTAGAGTATGAGCTAAACGGCAACAGAGCTTCGGTGGCTAAAGGCGTCTCACGCCCAAGCAACCGAACAAAAAGTCTGGCCAGAAAAATATTCACCTCAAACAAAATAAGATGGGTTATAAACAATTTTCAGCCATTCAAGAGGATAAATATCCGAGTGTGTTGAAATGTGCCTTTGTAAATTACTTTTCTTCAAATTTTGCCTTACAAGTGTCACATTCAAATGGATAAATACCCGAATGTGTTAGTTTGTGTATCTTCAAATCGCGTTTCCGTTTAAATTTTGATTTGCAAATGTCCCATTCAAAAAAATTAAATATCCAAGTGTATCAATATGTGTTCTTTCAAATCACCTTCTCTTTTCAATTTTGCATTGCAAATGTTACATTTGAAATTCTCCTCATCCGAGTGTGTTAATATGTGGCTTCTCAAACTACGTTTGTGTTCAAATTTTGCAAATGTGTCACATTTAAAAGGATAAATATCAGACCGTGTTAGTTTGTGTCTCTTTAAATAGTCTTTTCCTTTGAATTTTGCTTTGCAAATGTCACATTCAAAAAGATAATTATCGAAGTCTGTTGATATGCGACTTCTCAAATTACCTTTTTGTTTAAATTTTCCTAATTTAAATTTATCTTTAAATTTTGCATTGCATATGTTGCATTTAAAATTCTTCTCGTCCAAGTGTGTTAGTTTGTGTCTCTTCAAACTGCCTTTTTTTTAAATTTTGCTTTGCAAATGTTGCATTTAAAATTCTGATTCTGCTTCTAAAATGATAATTTAGACTGAAGTGCCCTTTTTTACGCATAAAAAATTTATTCAATTGATTTTGACCCCCCCTACATATTTTTCTGCGGGCGCCCCTGTCCACAGAAACCAATATGCCTATCAAGCAGGCAAATCAATGGAGACAGCCCTACACAGACTTGTGAAAAGGATTGAAAAGGCACACTCCAACCAAGAAACCGCTCTTAGTGCATTCATTGATATAGAGGGCTCATTTGATCTTGATCCTCTTATGAGTCCACAAGAAAGGCGGCAAAAAACAAAGGCTTTGAGGACACTACAATCAAATGGATTGAAACCATGCTATAGGATAGGAAAATCAAAGCAACTCTTGGAAACGGCACAGCGACGTTCCTAACAGTCAAGGGGGGTGTATTATCCCCACTGCTATGGGCCATAGTAATAGATGAACTTCCAAACATACTAAGTGACCATGGATTAGTGGTCCTAGGATATGTTGATGACCTTGCAGTCATCATTAGAGGCAAGCATGATAAGATCATTAGTGAACTTATGCAGAATGCCCTCAACATCATCAAAAGCTGGTGCTTGCAAGAGGATCTAAGGGTGAATCCTAGAGACAATAAGTGTACCATTCACAAGGCAAAGGAAGCTCAACTTAATACCTCCAACACTGGATGGAATACAAATATGCCTTTCAAGTAAAGTCAAATATCTGGGCGTTGTCCTAGATCAAAAGCTCACCTGGAACTCACATTTAAAAAGAATAATCGATCGAGCAACAGTAGCGTACTGGACATGCCGAAGACTATTCAGTAAAACATGGCCAAAAATGATCTATTGGATATATACGATGATTATAAGACCCCTGGTTACATATGCTGCATTGGTGTGGTGGCCAAAAGTGAAGCAGCAGACAGGGCAAAACCGATTGGCAGTTGTACAAAGGTATGCATGTCTTGGAATAACAGGTGCCATATCATTCCTCTGCACGTTGCAGTGAGGAGGGAGGCCTACAAGGGGACCTCAAGGGTTATACGGTCTCTAAACCTAAAGGAAGGAGAGCTTGTTGGACATATGAGCATAATTAAAGAATGCCATGGTACACCTACCAAACCGGTGGACATCATACCACCCAGATATGAATTTAATCACCTTTTTAGTGTGACCGCAGAAGGCCGCAAAAGTGACAAAATCGTACATAAATTCCCATCTGGTACACAGATGGATTGAAAACAGAAGAAGGGGTCGAAGTGGGCGTATATGGCCCAAACTGTAGGCTATCGGTAGCCTTAGGAAAAAACCCCACCATATTCCAAGCGGAAACGTACGCAATAGAACTCTGCGCCAGCAAGTGTCTTGAAATGGACCTACGAGGTGCAAGAATCTTCATCAATTCTGACACTTAGGCAGGACTTAAGGCTCTTAACAGCTTTGTCACTAAATCCAGACTTTCAGTCTGGAACTATCAGCAACTTCTAAAGCAACTGGCGAACTGCAATAGTCACTTTAGCATGGGTACCAGGGCACCAAAACATAGAATGAAATGAAATAGCGGACCGGATTGAAAAAGATGGGTAAAGCTGAATCAGACCTTTGCCGCTTCTGCAAAGAAGCATTCGAATCTGCCGAACATATACTCTGCAAATGCGAAGCATTATGTCGCAGAAGACTCATTCATCTGGAGCAGACACATTTGACTGCTGCGCACACAATATAATCTAATCTAATCCCTGGTTATTCCTGGTTATCCCTGGTCATCCCCAGTTATCGCTGGTTATCCCCCCTGTCAAACGTTGCCAAATGTAATCTTCTTAGTTTCATGTGTTTGCATTTTTCCAGTTATCCCTTGTTATCCTCAGTTATCATTTGGTTATCCCCAGTTATTCTTAGGTTATCTCCGGTTATCCCTTGGTTATCCCCGATTTTCCTTGGTTATCTCGGGCTATCCCCAGAATCCCTAGTTATCCCCGGTTATTCTTGACCATGTACATACATCAAATATCCCCATTCTTGGTCGTCGAATGGAAATATTTTTCTTTGAACAAACCACCCTAAAGTCGGCTTTTTGACTTTAAACTTCACTTTTCAAAATTTGAATTGATAAAAACATCAGATATGAAGAATGAAATATTTATAAGTAGAAGTAAAGCTTTCCCTCCAAATATTTTAATGTCTTTGTCTTGTAAGTGAGAATATTTCATATTTGGTTTTACCAGGGATTTCCAAGCTTCCTCGCTAAATTTTAGAAAATGCAAATAGGCTCGATTTCGAATAAAGCTTTTAACTATGAAGCTCAAAAACTATAATCAAAGTTAGTTTTCTCAAATATTCTCCATTCCCATTTATTGTTTGGTAATATTAGGCATCGATAATCATTAATGCACAATCGACAGATTTTTTCTACATATAATTTCCCAAACTAAAATTGTACATAGATAAGAACGTAAAACCGATTTTAGGACTACGGTCCCGGGGAACTTCCAGCGTCCGCAGGCGTTTACAACGAAGACCAGGATTACCGGTCTCCCAGCGAAGATTCCGGATTGGGAATGGGATTTGCCGATAAGCAGAATCCCAGGTGAGAGAGGCACACACTTGGATGCGATTTGATTCACACGTATTTTAAGGTTTTTGTTCCAAAGGATGTTCTCGCGTCATTTAAAATTTTGCCTGAGAACATCCTCAATCCTTTACATAATCTACACAATATTAATTTATTGGTGGAATTCTAGAGTCCGGCCTCCAAGCGCCTCGGGAAAAATCGCAACTAGTGAAATAAACCAGGAGGACCAGCAGGTGAATACTTTACAATTTTTCTTTTTCTCTATTTTTTTTTTTTTTGTCTACTTTCAATATTTCTGTCTTTTCTCAAACTACCGTAGGCTTGTAAAGGACGCAAAATAACCAACACTAGTTTATTTTGCGTTTTACTTATAGAGCACTGGCACCAACATATTTCTATCATATTTTCTTGCACTATATTTTTAAACTACCCCCCCAGTTAGAGAGTGTAATTTTTATGCATTTTGGCCTGCTTTTCAGCTTCTAGCTGTTTTAATCAAGTTTGAAAGCAAGCTATTTTAGTCATCGAATCAATAGGTCAGCAGGCTGAGGAACATCGTAAAAGGGATTATTTCAGCCACTAAGCCTTATGTCTGGGAAAGCGTAAATATACGACAATGCGGGGCTTTGGTTGAAGCCCATCAACATAATGCTTTATATTGAGGATAATTCTTTTAAAATCAGAATAATTAACAAACTTTTTTGGTTTAGCAGGAGTTCGTTGGGGGTGAAGAAGAACATCCTGTTGGCAGCAGGAGGCACTCGAGTCCAGATGAATCCAGATCTGGATCAACTACGCAACTTCATCAACAGGAATATGCCGATTCGGTAATTATGATTTTTAGCTCACACGTATATTTTTGGTGAAGAGAAGTGGATCGGATCTGAAGCTTAATAAGCAAATAAGCCCTCAAATCAGCTTGCCAAGCGTGTAATAGGGGCGTTACGGAAATTTCGTTAGTTGACCAAAGGATTTACTGGGCCGAGATTAATCGGGGAATAATAATTTGCATCGAGGCCCTAAGGGCCGGAACAAGGCTTGAATATAAATTTATGCGGTTCATGACAAAGTTACCTTTAAAGATTCTTAATGGAATTTTGTGAATAATGAATTCGCCACTCTTTGGGTTTAGTTTTACAGGAATCAGTTCCTGGAGCCCGTGCACAACAGTGCAACGATTAGCGGACAGGTTCTTTATACTTTTATTCGATAGTACCCACATTGTGCATGTTCGTTTGGGGTGTCAGCTGGCTAGGTGGCGGTGGGGGTATTTATTAAGGGGTTGCTAACACATATAAAAAATCGTGACGGGAATCACTCCCGGGCAGCACGAAACTTTTATGAACGGAAGATTATATTCCATAATGAACATCGAACATTGTCAGCTAGCCGAGGGGTGGTGGGGTACTTGTCAGCTAGGGGTGCGAATGATCCCGAAAATGCGAATTTTCAAAATGATGACGGGCAACTTGAAATTTGGGTGGATTCTAATATTTTATATATGATTCACGGAAAAAAGTGTCAGCTGTTCATGTGTCGGTGGAAAAGTTGTCAGCTGGGGTCAGAAAAGGTTTCGAGCGTAGACGCGCTGTTAGCTGCTGGGCACAATTTTTCATGCATCAGCTTACAATGTTTCCACCAACATACGAGTAGCTGATACTTTTTTTCATGAATCATATACAACAGGGCTTTCATTTCAAAACTTGCCACCCACGTTATCTGGGTAAACAGAGCAGAGATTTGTGGAAATCGCCGAAATACGTCAACAAATTTATTGTGGGGGAACGTTTCTTACGTAAAACTGGACTTCGCCCCTTCAATCCCCTGAGCCCCAGGGCTACCACCCCAAATTTTTTAAATGGGACAGTGGGTTGAGATCATTTTAAAGGGCTGTTAAATCTCAAATCTGTAAATGTTGCCGTCCTATTGTTTAAATTTGAAGGTCTATAAACCTAGCAGTCCCAAAGTAACCAAAAAAATGACGTCTGTGAAGTCAAACTTCAACATTAAGAATTGAGGTTAAAAAAGTCGTCATTTTTTGACGTTTGCGAAAAAAAGAAATTTTTGGAAATAGCTATTTACCTAACAAGTGCGGAAAATGAATTTTTCCGCACGCGGCTGCCGGTGATGCAGCCGAGTGCGGAAAGATATTTTCCGCAAGTGTTAGGTACAATATTTTTCCTACAGGCGAAAAAATTTAATTTTTTTTTTTTTGACATATCAGTGCGGTAAAATTTTTTCCGCACTGACAGCCGTGCGGAAAAACTTTTTCCGCACTGATATGTCAAAAAAAAAAGTTTTACCGCACCGTGCGGGAAAACTCATATTCCGCACGCATATCAGTGCGAAAATCGATTTTTCCGCACGGCTGTAGGAAAAATATTTTTCACTATAGGGGACTACTAGCTTTCATAAACCTGGCAATCCCTTATTTTTTTTTGATTTTCTCAAAAACTAGAGGAGCACCTAATTTTTAATTAGAGGCTCTAATTAGCACCTAAAGAGCACCTAATTATTATATAGATCCCGAAGTTTTTTTGCCATTCTAACACACCAACAAGTAGACGTAAAGCCAGCAGTCCCCTAATAATTAAAAAAAAATCTGTAACTCAGTTAATAATTAATCAATCCTATTTTTTCTTGGACTATTTAGGAGCACCTAAAAAGCACCTAATTCTGATACAAAAGAAATTTTTGGAAAAATATTTTTCAATATAGGGGACTACTAGCTTTCATAAACCTAGCAATTCCTTAGTTTTTTTTGATTTTCTCAAAAACTAGAGGAGCACCTAATTTTTAATTAGAGGCCCTAATAAGCATCTAAAAAGCACCTAATTATTATATAGATCCCGAAGTTTTTTTGCCATTCTGACACACCAACATGTAAACGTAAAGCCAGCAGTCCCCTAATAATTAAAAAAAAATCTGTAACTCAGTTAATAATTAATCAATCCTATTTTTTCTTGGACTATTTAGGAGCACCTAAAAAGCACCTAATTCTGATACAAAGAAGAAATTTGAAAAATATATTTTTCACTATAGGGGACTACTAGCTTTCATAAACCTAGCAATCCCTTAGTTTTTTTTGATTTTCTCAAAAACTAGAGGAGCACCTAATTTTTAATTAGAGGCCCTAATTAGCACCTAAAAAGCACCTAATTATTATATAGATGTTTATTAGGGGACTGTTCTACGAGCACAACGATTTTCACTTCCGTAGATGTAGATAATCTCTATTCTCTCTGCCAAAGTATAAACCATTTCTGGAGAACTGTTCACTGTTGTAATAATAAAACTGCACTAAAAGTGACTGAAACAGCTGAAACAATAACTTTTTTCTCCAAACGTCAAAAAAACGTCACTTTGTCAGCACCTGTCAAGATGTTAGAAATTTAATTTTATATGCTGGTAGGCAAATCCAGCGGGTTAACACCTGTTGAGGTGGTAGAAAATTGATTTCTATGCTGCTAGGCAGGCCCTGCGATCTCTCATTGCCAGTTATAAACCACATAATAACTCTTTTCCGTTTTTCCAGATGTCGCTGACAAACACAGAATTGTCAAAATTGGAAAATACCAGAGGCACATCAAAAACACGTCCGATGTCGATAACTGACATGTCAACATATGACAATATGCCAAAATATTCATTTGATCATAACTAATAATTCATAATGTTTTTTGTTCGCCGGTCTTGCATTTCATCTTTCTTTGTGTTGTCAAGTGTTCTTAAGTGATTTCAAAGTTGTTTTGTGTGTTTCAAGAAGAACTTTATTGATTGGAAGATCTATTTTTATCTTTGTTGATTAGATAAATGACAGGTTCAATTAAACATTAATCAGAACTTTGAATAAATATGTTAAGGATACCCTTAACCATCGATAAAGAAACTGTCTTTTGATCTAATTAACAAATTAACAAATTATCAATTAATTTGAGCAAACATTAATGCCCCAAAGTCCAGAATAAACAAATTTGAACAGACCGACAGTAATGCGAACAGGGCGCCATCTATCATAAAAAGTCCTTTGTAAAGTAGGTGTCTGTAGCATCGATGCAAAACCAGTAAATAGTGATTTTCCGATATGGTAGATGGCGCTGGCTTGGCTCAATTTTGTTGACAACAAAATTTACACTGAGATTCCATTCTCGACAGTTTATATAGTATTTATCTCTGCTGCTAGGCAACCGCAGCGGCAGTAGAAGTACTTTTAATGCCGCTATGGAGCGGCAGCAAAAGTACTTTTAGTGCCGCTCGTACTTTTACTGCCGCTTAACTATTGAGTTACCCCCGAGCTGACCCTATTCGTTTGGAGAAAAAATAGCGTGTTGCATACGGAGTAGAAGCACTTCTTTGTGCTTCAGCAGTATTGCAAGCCTCACTACGTTCGGCTCGCAAACCTACTGCTTCAGCACAAAAAAGTAAAGCTTCTACTCCCAATACAACAATATACTATTTTCTGACTTTCGAGACAGTGACCAGTGAGTGAGACTGAGGAACGAGGAACCAGTAACCAGTAACTGGTACTTTTCCTGAAAGGTGACAACCAAATTAGTTTTGGAAAGTGATAAAAAGGTATGTAGCTAAACAAGCAGGTGTATTTAGAAATAGATATACGCATTTGTGAACATTGAAAGTGGTTTTATACTCTGCAACAGTGAGGTCAAATTTAAACAATAGGACGGCAACATGTACGTACATCAGCCCTTTGAAATGATCTCTCCAATTATGTAGAACTGAAGTTGTAAGTCGGGATTGCCTTATGCATATTTTTCATAATAAATCTTCAAAAATGATTTCAGGAAACTTGTAATTTAATTGGGTACTAATATTTTATATACGGTTCACGTATGTTGGTGGAAAAATTGTAAGCTGATGCATTGAAAATTGTGCCCAGCAGCTATAACAGCGCGTCTACGCTCGAAACCTTTTGTGACCCCAGCTGACAACTTTTCCACCGACATATGAGCAGCTGACACTTTTTTCCGTGAATTATATATAAAATATTAGGATCGACCCAAATTTCAAGTTGCCCGTCATCATTTTGAAAATTCGCATTTTCGGGATCATTCACACCCCTAGCTGACAAGTACCCCACCACCCCTCATAATCTTTCGTTCATAAAAGTTTCGTGCTGCCCGGGAGTGATTCCCGTCACGATTTTTTTTATGTGTTAGCAACCCCTTAGCAAATACCCCCACCGCCAACTATCCAGCTGACACCCCAAACGTACATGCATAATGTGGGTACTATCGAATAAAAATATAAAGAAATTGCCCGCTAATCGTTGCAATTTTTTTACACGGGCTCCAGGACTATAAGCTTTAAAGAAATTAATAACCACTGAAATCGTGTGTCAGGAAATACCTAATTTTCGGGATATGTATCTACATCTGAAAGTGATGAGAATAGTATTTTATCTACGACCGTAAGATGAGAACCTATTTTGTTTTTTACCTAATCGCACGCTTCAATAGGCAAAAAAAATCGAAATCTAAATATAGATGTGAGGCGCCTTCAAAATCTGAAGAGAAAAAGTTGAAGCTGCATTGGATTTGTAGAAGGTTTAACTGACTTCAATTTAAGCCTAATTACTGTGGTACCAATGGGTGCCAAATAGTGAGCAGCTATTACTGCGTTTGACCTCAGCTCCATTTTACCTATTAAGACTTTTAGCGATCGGTGACGGTACCACCACTTGGAACACCCCAATTCCATTTTGGTAATCCTCTTGGCTGTCCACAATAAGTTTTATATATTTAGAAAATTCGCATTTTCCACTAACTAATTATCTCATTCATCAAGCAAAAAAAACGAATAACGTCAC